CGGGCACCCAGGCCCCACTGCCCGCCCGGGCCCCACCGCGGGCACCCAGGCCCCACTGCCTGCCCAGGCCTCACCTCAGCTTGGTGCCCAGTGCCCCAGCAGCCCCTTCCACCCTTGGGTGGTGGCTATACGTGGGACCCTCCTTTTTACATTCCAGAGAATGTACTCCATAAAACTGTCGTCTTCCTGGAGTGGTTTCTGCCCAGAGCTCTGCGGAAAGGTTGGGAGGCCCGAGGAGGCTCCTGAGCGGGCAGAGCGAGGGCAGTGGAGGTGCCTGTGGCAGCCGCGTCCCCACGGTGAGCTCAGGGGACCCGCGTGGGTGTGAGCGAGCAGCTGCGCTTCAGCTGCATCATGAGGCGCCGTGATACCACAGGAGTGCATGTATGATAGCGGGTGGAAAGGGGAGAAGGAGGTGCTAAGGAGAGGGAAGTCCGAGAAGGCTTAGTAGAAGATTACGCTTTCAGAAGGGAGTTTGTTTAATGCATACATATGTGTCAGTATTCCTTCCAAGTGTATATATGGAAACGTGTGGGAAAAATAACCACAGGGGCCAGTCAGTGATTTTTTTCTTCTTTACGATCCCTTTAAATATATATAAAGTTCAGAATAATTGGATTATTTTCTCTCCTGTAACATATCACATAGCACTAGGGATAATCTGCAAATTAATAATGCAAAAAGAATGTATGTTTGATATGTACTTGTTTGATGCATACTCTCTTTTATCAATGTTATCAATATTGTTTTTTTGTTGTCTTTCTCAGCTCATGACTTGCCTTCAGCTGATCAGTTTGATTTACTGAGTCAATACTTCAGGCTTGCTGACAAATGGATGACAGCTATTCTAAAGCGTTTCTTGGCCATGGCAGTAATTCAGAAGATGAATATCTCAAAAATAGAAAGTCATCTAGTTTGAATTCATCAAAAGAGATCAGAAAGGCTGTTGAAGAGTGTCTGTCATCGTCTTCAAATACTCTGGATGTCAGTAGAAAAAACATTCAGCATCTTACTGAGGAAATATATAAACTGCCCAACATAAAGGTGAGTAAATTGTTTTGAGCAGTTCCAATAGCCTTGGCTCAAGTGTAGCACGGAACAGTTAAGGGCTTGTTACTTTGTCAGATGAAATCTAAAAATCTTAGCTATGATTTTTTATCTCTGCTTTTTAAAAAAGTCCTTACTAATTAAATCACTAGTATGTGTAATTTACAGAGTTGTGTACCCTTCAACCCTCTTTGGCAATATTCTTTTCATGAAAGTGAAGAGCAGTTTCAGTTTTCACATTTAGTATTTTGCATGCCAAGGAACAGCCTGTCTGCCTCTGGCTTTAAAACATATTTATATTTTTCTCTGTTAGCACTTTCATGTGGAAAGAAATGTCCTATCAGCGATTCCCGAGGATTTATTTCAAAAGCTGCCACATCTTGTTTGGCTGGATCTCCGATACAACAAGATTAAAACTATTCCACCTGGAATTGGCTACCACAGGTAAGATGCTGGTCATGCTGATAATTTGATGATAATTGTGGGTTTTTTTCTATTTGCATTACTACAATTTCATTGTAACAGTAAAACTTTTATATACTTTTGTTTGGCATTGACCTCACTACAGGAGAATGATAATTAAGCTTTTTTTTTTTTTTTAACTAAAGCTCAGATAACTAACATAACATGTTAGTGAATTTCTAAATTCTTCTTCCTATAGAAATGTAAGACCTGTTACTGTTTTCAGGAAAGTTTTGCCTCTGTGTTTTTTTTTAACACTTTAGCTGATTCTATCTATAGTGTTGTAAGGGAGGTGAAAACTGGGACCCATAGTTCCAAACCTCTCATGTCACTCGGTGGCAATGAGTAATAGTTTAATTGGTCAGAAACTAGCAAGCTTTCTTTTTGTTTTTTTTTTTGTTGTTGTTGAATTTTAACAGTAAACAAGCTAAAAAATTGCAACACTTAGAAAAGTTATGGGTTTTCATTTACATTAGGATGACATTTCCTATATGGCATGGGCAGTGCATTGTCTCCTATAATTTGATCTGAGAAGATGATGGGTATTAAAAACTGTTTAAAAGACTGTTATTAAAATTGCAAAATGAAGCATTCAAAAAAAATCACAAATTCTGGAACTATGGATTTCTGTATAGTCTCTATTTCTATTAGCTTCTAATATAGTTGCTTTATCTGTGCTTCTCAGCCAATCTGGATGTTCCCTTTTCTTTCTTCTTCACCAGGTCTTTGTCCCAATTTATTCAGGGTGATCCCTGTTTTAATAGATGTTATGCTTTCTTGAGATAAGTGTCTTCTTCCAGTAACCCAACTAATTCCTTGCCTTATATTCCCAAGCTTTTCAAATTTTGTCACAAGACCTTTACTTTTTTTTTTCCCCTGCTTACCTTGAGTGGCCTTTTTTTTTTCCCCTTTCCTATCTGTACCTGAATTTGTTTGTTCTTTTGCTTCCCTGCTGTGTCTGGATATCAGCAGGTACGTGCTACAAGGGGAAAAAGAGACAACCTCCCTTCTTTTGGGTGAAATATCCACTGTATTCTAAATACTCAATAGAGGCTCCCAGAGGCAGTCTGTACAACAGATTACATTAACTGTATACAGCAACTCTGGACGTGTTATTTGCTAAAGAATACAAATTGTTTTCTGAGCACAGGCAAACTGAGATTTTTTCAAAAGCTTAGAATTTGTCTCAATGTTAGCAGATTTTTCATAGAGATACCAAAGAATACAAATGTGACAAATGCCTGACCCATGCCACATTTCTAGGCTGCTTCCAAGAATGGGAACATTGACAAAATTAAATACGGATAGGACATATTTCTTTCTAATCTCATTATAAAAAATGGCTGAGCAGTTATAGCTCAAATTTAGCCTGAGGAATGCACTCAACAACCCAGACAGTTGAAGCTCAGAAAAATGTTAAAAAAACAACTGGAAACGAGTTTATAATTGAAACAGCAGTTACATCAGCCCTTGCAGTGATAAGCAAGCCTTGCAGAAAAAGATCAAATGCTAAATAATGAAATAGTATATAAAGGTTCATGGGTGTAAACCATGAACCTTCAGATTGTCATACCAGAAAGCTTTAGGGTATGCCAGTCAAGCCATTGTCTAGCACTCATGTTGGACTGGCATGGATTTGCCTTGAAGGGTCCATTCTGCGGTAGGAAACAAAAGATAAAAAAATTAAAGAGGAAAAATGTTCTTGTGTTTCTGTTTACCTTAACCTCATTTTTTACAGTTACTACTATTTTCTCTTTTATTGCAAAGGCAATTGAAAGCTCTGCTTTTAGAAAGAAATCCTATAAAAGAGCTGCCTGCAGAGCTTGGTGAGTACTCACTTCTTTTTTGAAGGTATCATACTCTTTTTTTTTATTGGCTCTTAATATTTAATTCTGTGGTTAGACTTCGGAATACTTTAATATTTATCTAAAGAAAGATTGTTCTTTATTTACCATGAATATGTACTTTAAGAGAAAAGAATAGGTATGTTAGAGCATTAAAATGAGGTCTGTACAGCTTGCAACTTAGACTTTTACTAACTCGTTCTGGATTAGCAATTACCACTTCAGAAAACAACTATTACCAAATCAACTGTTCTAAGAAAAATAGAGCAGGTTGCCTGGACTCCTGGGATTGCCTGAAGCTGCCCCTCACTAGCTGGAGATGAGACGAGAGTGAGTTCTAAGGAGCAATCCCCGCTCAAAGTGCTTAGTCCAGTGGGGACTCCTCGGGCTGATAAGAGCCCTCACAGCATGAGCGCTGTTTTTTTTGCCTCATCCCTATTTGATGTTCTCTGGGCTTTGAAGATCCTTGCTGTAGTACTGAGAGACTAACCTCCAAAGCTACATCTTGAGTCTAGCTTCTGTAAACAGGACAAATGGCTTGAACCAGACATGGTCACACAATTAGGCCTAATTTTCTGTTGCTTACATCGCAGATGTTCAGACTGCACTTTGGCAGGGTTGAACTGAGGGCTGCTTGCTTTTCCATACATTTTTGCAGCTCCTTATGATAGACCATACTGGCTCATTGGACTTATTATATACATTTTGACTTTCCAGTACTGCCTATGTAATGTATTCTACCTGTCTCAGTCCCTGAGATGACGTCTCTGCTAGTAAACGAAAAATGTGCCCATGAGTGTTCCCCTGTTCTGAGGCCAGCTGGCACAGAATGACCTGTTCCTATACAATTAAACTGTCGCAGTCTCAAACGGGGTGGTGGTATACAAGTTCTGTAGTGGGAGCTGATCTGGAGATTCTTAGTTTCCAAGCTGTGCTCAGGAATTGTTTGGGAGAGACCTAGTTGGCCTGTCAGGAACCATTCTAACTATGTAGTGATAGAGACAATTCTATTCTAAGGCCCAAGAATGTTCCTAGATGCTATTATGTTTATTATTTTAACAAAGTTTTGGTATTCATGCTAAACTGTATGCAGGTGTGCTCCCTCCTGCTGCTTGGGCAAGGCATGAAGAAAACAACCAGACCCAGCAGTAAATGCTCCTTCCTTGCAGCCACGCTAGCCAAGAGACTACCTGTACCTTTGCTAAGATTTCAGCAAAAGAGGTTGCTGATCTGGTCCTGATCTTTTTGCTTTCCATGTAGCAGTTATTTTGGGGGCAGCGCTCACTAGTGGAGACCACATTTTCCCTTGAAACTGAACTGTTCAATCAGATGCGGAACTTGGGAGTCTTGCATTCTTTCATATCCTAAAGTGTTGCTCTTCTGAGAGCTAGTGTTTTTCTTCCAGTGTCAGTACGGCACATTATGAGACCTCACCTGGTGCCCAGGAGGGCAGCTATCATCCTCTGAACTTTGACTATCCCCAGTTGCAATCATTTAGTTATGATGTAGCAAGGCTGAGTCATTAAGCTATCTTAATAGAGATTGGTGTCTTAGCCGAGGTCTTGATGGAGTGGGCACATTGTCTCTGAATGGTAGCCAGAAGATTCATTTGACATTGGATCCCCTGCAGGCAGCATTCATTTGCCTTCATCCCGAAGGGCTGTTTTGCCATGCACAGTCCAAGGTCTTGTTGACTACTGCAGCCATTTACTGCATGGGGGGACATTTTCTGTAAATGAGAACGGTTTACACCAGCGACGTACGTAACATACTATCTTCAGAAATTTGGACACCTTTGCTGTGAAAGAAGCCATTGCCTTTGTTCCACTCCCAAATGGAAACATCAGGGATGTCAGGTTCCAGCTAGTGTTGTGTCAGTCCTTGCATTGCTGTCAAACAACGAGGGATCTGGTGGTCAGTTAATGATATAGCAGAGCATTTTGTTTCACAGGATCTGGAGTCAGGCTAGCTGAGAGATCAGTCAGTAGGCCAAAAAAGTTTCCCGTTCTCAGTGACTGTGTGGTGATGGTCCTCTTCCCCTAGATCTTCCCCCAGTTAGGCCTCCTCCCATCCTTTGGGATGTCTCCTTATGCTGCATATAGAGTATTTTTCTGTTATAAACTTTGCAGGCAGATATCATTCCATCACAAGAGAATAGCCATGCTGTGACAGAGCTGCTGTGTAGGGGAATGAAGGGCCTAAGAGGGGCTGCAGATAACCAACAGCTTGAACAGACCGATTACAACACAAGCTGTAAGAGAAGCAAAAGTCCCTACTGTGTCAACCTGGAAAGCTGACAAGAAGATGGTTTGGGCCAGTATGATTAAATGGTATTTCTCAGGGTCTAGGAGAAGAGATAAATCGAAGTGCATTTGAGGCAAACGGATGCCAACTACAGTCCCAAGGGAATGTAAAATATACCTGGGACCTTGTATTTTATCCTAAACAAGAACAAGTCAATAACATGAGCTGAAATGAGTATGGTCAGTCTGCTTCAAAAGGAACACTCTCTCTCCCATAAGTGTCTCTTTTCTGTATGTTAGTATGCGGTAGCATAGATAAAAATCGGAGTTTCTTCCCTTTAGCTAGTTTCATAGTGAAGAGAGGGGCTGGTGACCCGTAATCTCCAGAAGAGAAGTCCAACCTCTGGTTCAGAGTGTTCAGCTGAATAAAACAGGCAAAAAGAATGGTGAGCAAATCTGTCCACAAACCTGTGGAGATTTAGATCTCTTCTCAGAATCCTACTCCTCTCTCTCCACCATCTGCCTGACTAATATGATCTATGACTGTCAGAGTCAGAAGAAGACATTTCTTTTGTCCTGCCTTATGGTGGATCTGAATTGTCTCCTCTTACTCCTATCACGGGCTGATGGGGGCAGACAGTCTAGCATGCCTTGTTTGCCACAGGAGCTGGACTCTGTGATGCTGATGGCAGCTCTGAGTTTTGAGAGCTTTCAAAAGAGCTGTCTGGACAGATACCTTTTGTAGGCTTCTTGCTTCAGGGACTTCAGTCAGATCTGGCCTTGTCTCTCTTCAGATTGTGGAACGACAGCCCAGCTCATTAAATCCAGGCCTCTGATCTCTCAGCCTGTAGGCTGTAGCCTGTAGGCTGTAGGGCCAGTTCCTCCTCTTCCTGGGCCAGGCCACAGTCCCCTCTAGGCTTTCAGAGCTCTGTGCTGGAGGGTACAGACAAGCATGCTGTTCACTGATTGACCTGGTGTCATCTTCTGATAAGTATACAGAAGAAAAACATGACGGGCTCCTGCAATTCAAATGCTGTTTACTCAGACACAGTTTACCTGTACTACCAACTGCTTTACTAGTTAGTTTTTAGCTGCATCCTGAAGCTGGGCTTCTTCCTGCAGAATCTATCTTCTAGGAGAGTTATCTGAAGGAGAGTTTTGAACAGGGTATCGAAGCATATCAGTAAGAGTCCAGGGAGGTGGTCTCAAACCAGAGTTGCACTTAATTGCCTCTAAAGTCCTGCAGTTGCACGTTGGGCTGTTAGAGAGGAATGGCTAGTTATGCCCAGCAAGGGGTAGAGGACATGAGCTGTTACATTGCTGCTGTGCACGAGGCAACCTGTTACTGGAATGACCTTGCTCTTTCTACCCTGAGCTGAGTGGTGACTGAATCAAAAAATGTTTCGATGATTTAGATATCCTTGCACCTCTCAAAGTAGAATGAGCCACTGGTATACTGGCCTTTTTGCAGTAAAATTGTTTCATGGTTTTCTAGACGGATCCTCGATCAGGCCTCTCTTCTACCATAATACTTTGATCATTACAGGTTTCCCAGGTAGGTCCTGAGCTGCAGGGAATTCCTACCATATGAGACGTTTATCTGTTTCTCCCGTTATCACTATCTCTGTAGCTCGTAGGTCCAAAAGGAGGTGCCCAGCATCCCTGCTGTGTGTGAGGTTTTGTGCAAGCCGCAGCAATTGGAAAAGAGCACTGCAGGTTTTTCAGGGCAGGTTTTGTTGGGCAGCAGTGAAGTGGTGACAGATGGCTGGAGGCATTTGTAGAGGGTGGCTGCCACCAGGCTTTCCAAAGTTGTGTACATGCTCATTAGCAGGTGGTGCAATGATGCTCTGACTGTGTAGGAGTGGCCCAAGCCGTGCCAGTCTGCTGTGGCAGTTGTGCTTACAGAACTTTCAACATAATTTGCATTAATAACTTGCATGTATTCACTTCTGTATTTTTAACAGTCTCAGGGATCCTGGTTAAGACTGGCAGGATTATTGTGCTGAGGTGATGCTGTCCTACCATATGCCTTACCTTGGATCTGTCTGTTCCCTTGGCAAGCCTATATGTCCATGACCTTGCCGCCTACAGTGTAGTACATACAGAAACACTAGGAGCTGTCTCCCTAACTGAGAGAGCGCTGTGTGGAGGGTCCTGTGGAGGATTCTGGAGAGATGGCTTTAGGAGTTATCACCTAACTTGTTTTCTTCCACGTCCTCTGACAGAGCACCACGGCCAGCCTTGGCCGTAAGGAGGTCAGGCCCCGGCTTCCAGACAGTGCCCTGGTGGCAGGGGTAGCCAGCATGGGCTCCAGAGGTCTGCTGAAATTTTCAAAGAACAGCTACGTCTCTTGGCCCAAGGTTTTTTAGTTTTCTTCCTTAGTTTCTGCGTAGGTGCATCCAGCCTTTTGTTTTCTGCATGAACTCCTAGTGCTTATTTTGCCACAAAGAAGAGGAAATTAGTACCCAAATCGGAGGTTAACCCCTAGCAAGTTCCTCTCAAATGGTGCCAGGGAAGTTTCCCGGAGGGAGTTGCTTTGCAGCCCACTGTGAATGTTATTTTTGTTGTTGGATGCTGGAGGTGGGTTAGCACAGGGCAGTACAAAATAAAAACATGGCATGACATGTAGCCTCCACGTTTATCTTTGGAGGATTGGTGTAAAACAATTTGAGCCAGTCTTCGGTGTGCCTCCAAACCAGGGACCCCTTCTTTCCCCTACAGCAGCTGAGCTGCTTCAGACTTCATTCCTTATGTAGTGGATAATGTGAGAGCTGGACTGGCACAGTAGTTTGAACCTTAACTAGAGGGCAGTATACACATAATCCAAGGATCTTAATGCAGGTTACTAAAGACTTCTCATTTCTCTGCTGTGGACCTGGGCTTGTCAGAATTCCTAAGCCCCGTCTATGTCCCAGTCAGCCTACAGAGTGGGGTTTCACCACGGTCACGGAGACCTTGGGAGGTTCTCAAGCAGTCCACCTGGGAAGCTGGTAGAAGACTAGGGAATGGTGCCTATGACACGGTGAGAGGTTGTCAAAACCTAGTATATTTCCACAAAACAGTCATGTTTTGACAAGACAGCTTTTTCTGACAAAATCATGTTTCACGAGCTAATTCACAGCCCACTCTTCCTCCTACCCTTCCCTCTTGCTCTCTTGTCTGTACACTTGCCATCATAACCACCTATATCAAGAAATAGAGTAGGAGCTAATGCTGACAGCTTCAGCACTAACTTTAATTGGAGTTACCATCCTGCAGTGGCCATTCCATGATTCTTTGTCTTCTCTTTTCATAATCAGTAGAGCACCAACTTTATGATGTTTGTATCGTAAATACCAGATTAAAAGTCTGTAGTATAAACTGAGACAAATCTGGGGGGTAGGGGGATGATGTATGATAGCTTATCTCAGTTGTTAGTCTCCTTTTTTGTGTGCGCGCTTTTTTTTTTTTTAATCTAGGTCTGGAATGGATGTGCAACCTTTAGCTTCAGTTACTGAACATTTCTATTAAAAGCTACCTGTTCTATGAAATGTATAATTTTTGGAAGGGGAGCTGAAGTTTGAATGATAACCGACCATTTTAATTGTTTACCTGTGGCTCTTCCTAGAGCATTTTTACTAGTTCATCTGATTTGTGTAGAACCGTCATTTGTTCTGAATTTAATTATCAGAGATGAAAAACTTGTTGCCAGCCAGCATGTTTCCAAAAATGGTCTCTCAGACTTCACCCAGTGCATACTCTGTACTAGTTTAGCCAGTGCTGCATGGTGACCTGAACTGGGGATACATGTATTCTGTTTCCAGGTCTGCCGCTGGCTTGCTGACTCTGCATAAGTCACCTGACTGCCCATGCGTCAGTTCCACAGGCTGGGGTGGCGAAAAAAGCTTTATAAACCTACAAAATCTCTTTAAAGTTACCAAAGCAAAGCCTTTAATAGCAGCTACATAATAATATTATTGCTACATCTACCTCAGTATTCTTTAGATTGATTTAGGAACATTTCTGAATCATGAAGAATCTCAATAGGTGACACACCGTAAAATTTAATTAAATTATTTTTATAAGAGTGCTGAAAGCTAGAGCACCTATTTGCCATCCTCCCAATCATGCAAGTTGGTGCGCGCTGCCACCTTATGTAGTGTGATTAATAACTTGCGTGTTCTGTATAGTTTCCTCGTGACATTCAGCCTATGTTAAACCTGAGTGGTTTTCAGCAAGATAAAACCGCAATTTCATTTTTCTAATACAGAAGTATTTTGATCATTTCTGTTTAAAAATAGACTTAATTTCCTAGGACTAAACTATTTTAAATAGAATTGCATTCCCAATAGTTCTTTACAAGGTACATTTTCAAAGCCATTTCTTGTTGATGATAATGTAGCTCTTTCATTTCTACACTGTGTTCATGATTGTTTGAAGTAATTTTCTAATTTGTGATTCAAGACTGTATGAAAAGGCATTTTCATAATTGAAGCTCACATAGCAAATTTTTGGTTTTGGAATGTTAGAATGCAGTTCATTTACTAAACCTCTAAACCTCAGCATTCCTTATAACCAGTGCCATGTTGAAAGCAATCAAAATGATTGTTCAGAGCATTGGGAATCCTTGTTTGTTTGACAGAGGTATGCTCGTGTGTGAACTCTATGGATTATATTTCTTCACAAAACCAACAACAGTAATTGCACAACAACATATTTAGTCTCTGCACATTAAACATAGATTTTCAATGTTATACACTTTTGTTACTCTAACATAATTATGTGTACAGCGCTGCGGATCTGTTGTATTTTTAGTTTGTAGTCAAGTAATTCCTCCTTTTATGCCTCTTTTCTTTTTTGACCAGTTTTTCTGCCTGGAGTATTTCCACTGATCTGTGATGCCAGGCAATTCTTGTCTTTTAGAACTCTCCTTAGAGCTTTTCTCCTTCCATAGGACATTGGCATGCTAATTCTGCACTGTTCCCTTGTAACAGCAAGAAGGTAATATATCTGTTTTGCAGCCAGCATGTGGTACACATGCATTTAGCTTTTCATCAAAATATGTTTCCCCAGGGTTTTCCACCAATGTTTTTGCCATCTCGTTCTCGTTCCTGTTCAGTTCCAGTTTCTCTAAATCAATTCTGTTTCAATGTGAGTGTAATTTTCAAATAATGATTCAGACACAGGTCTGGTTTTCACCAGTTCTTAGTTTGAGTTTGACTTTAGCAGAGTTCAAAATAATAGGTCTGATTAATAATAGTTCTAACTACACAGTCTCGGGGGGGAAAAAAGTTTTACATGTTTCTGACCAAGATTTGAATTGAATTTGCCTCAATTCTCAAGTAAGTTACTTTTATGTTCGTGTGGGGATGGCAAAATTTGATTTTTCCTGCACTGCTGAGAAGTTATCATTCAGCTCTGACCCTGTGGTTGATCAAAAGACCAGATAAATTATGAAGAAATTAGAACGTAGTTGAAAAGAAATACTTCCGGGTGCATTTGTTCTCAAATTCAGTGAAACTAGAACGACTCTACATTCTGTGGCAGAAATAGGGCATTGCGTTGAATATTCGCTGTTGCTTGGGTGTATTTTTGTGTGTAACAGGTTGTACCTACTATCTCCTTGATGCGGAGAATCCATTTACACTTGGATCTCAAGTTTTGCTCCCACGGGAGGGGACAGAGAAGCATCCAACAGTTCTTTCCATCTTGATGCTTGGAAGAATTCCTGTGCGCTTACCATCTTCCTGGAGAACCCCCAGTACCTACTGGAGCTGCTCATTTTGAGCTGCTCATTTTATTCTGTTTTTTTTCATGCTGGTTTTTATGTTTTGTTTCTGTTAAGTGCACTTTGTTGCCAATATTGCTATAGCTGACATTTCTAGAGAACTAATGTCAAATGCAGTTGTTAATCTCATTGTAAAACTTGTTTTATAACATTCCTTTCAGCTTTAATTACTGGTAATTTAAAATCAAATAACTGTGCTATTAGTAATGTAATTGTCATTCCTGCAGGTAAGGTTATACAAAAACATTTTCAAAGAACAAATGTACTACTTTATACTGTAATGAGTAAAGCAGAAAGCAAACCGGCTCAGAATTTTAAGCAGCAAATCTCTACAAAGTGAAACAAGTGAAACTGATCTACAGTCAAGCTGTGCGTGGAGTTTTAAAGAGTGACACTATTAATATAATGTGAAAAACATATTCTGATTGAAAACAACATTGAAAACCTGAATCCAGTCCACGGTGTGCTTCCTAAATAAATTATTATAAATTATGTCATTTTAAAATGATGTCATAACAAAATACAGATAGCAGCTTTCTTTTAGAAACTTAGTACTTTTATATTTTGAAAGATTTAACAGTAGATTGTAACTCTTAACTTTTTCATCCACATGAAAGTACTGCTTTTTTTTTTTTTCAACTGACTGAAAGTATTATTTCACTCTCCAAATCTAGTTAGTAAGGCAGAATTACTGATTTTATTTTATTTCAATGAAGCCTAATTTATTGGGGAAGAAAGTACATCTAATTTCTGAAACTGATTGTGTGTATTTTATGCTCTGTTCACATTTCCCCAGATGGTAAGCAGAACATGAAAAGAAAGATGATTTCAATCCTGCTAGTCCTCCTCTTTTTAAAGATGTGACCTTTACTGGGTATACTTTTGCTTATGAGAAAAGTAGGAGACTGAGGCAGGCCTGTGAGATTCATGAACTCATTATCCCTTGGAGAAACTAAAGGCTTACATGACTCTCTTGTTTGATGTGAAGACATGATAACAGAGAGCCTGGAAGTGAGTAGTAGTGTACACTCGATAATTTGAAGGCTAGAAAATCAGAGCAATACAGCGGAAAGATAAGAAGGAAAACTTTTAATTCCTTTCTTTTTGTATGAACGTTCTTTACTATATATTAATTTCATTGTGATCTGTCAACACCACAAATTCTATCCATTTATGAGTAGAAGAGCACAAGAACAGCTACCAGGGAGGTTGTACAGTTTAGCTAAGCTATTGTGAGAAAGTTCATTTTATCTTGAATGGGGAGAAAATTGATGGATGTTACATCTGATTCAGTTCAGAGATTCATTCCTACATTGGGAGAAGGCATAACTTCTTGGCAGAGAAGATGATAGTTTGAGTTTGAATTAAAGGTAACTGAAGTAATAAAAGACTTTTGTGTATTTATGTCTGTTTGCATCTGATGCAAACTGTGGAACTGGGTTTGAACTCTCTTACTTTTTGTGCACAGAAGCCTCAATTAATCTGGAGATGGTCTTACACATAGCAAATTGAGAATGTTAAAGTTTTTAGCAGTTAACTTTCAGGGAGAAAACAAACATTTTAATGTATCTCGGTCTAGTCTTTATTAATTTCTTGAATAACCTGAGATTTCGAAATGAGAAATATAGCCCATCAGGAATTAGATAGGTAATAATCTTGGATATTACAGGAGTTAGGTAATCATCTTAGATATTACCGTATTCTTAATGCTCTGCATATATAAAAGTATCAGTCATTGTTATCTTTAAAAACTTCAAACTAAAAATCGTTAGACTTGGCCAAATAAATACACTAGTACAAAGTATCTGCATTTGTGGTAGTAGTAATCATCATAGAAATCATTATAAACACCATAACTACAGGTCATTCACTTTTATGACTGAACAGCTACCTAAATCTGAAAACTCTCCCATCTTTCAAAACGTGCTCTAAATTAAATCATTTTCACAGGAAACTTAACTTCGTTGACAGCCTTGAATCTGAGACATTGTCCCCTAGAATTTCCACCCAAAGATGTCATACAGAAGGGATTAAAATCCATTTTGTGCTTTCTTCGAAATTGTGGGAATGGAAGACTCTGTATAGAGCCAGCTACTTCAGGTATGTTGGTATGCATTTGTGTATCTTTACTGTAATTTGTTTTGGAAAAAAAATGTGAACCAAGGAATGCTTTCACTTTTAGCTTTTTCACTAGTGTCATCAGGTCTCTATCTGAAATGGATACTGACTGCTGAAATAGGTACGGAAAAAGAATTGTTCAGTTTTCAATAAAGCAATCTATATATCTTAAACCCCGAAGAGAAGGAGAGGTTGTATTTTGTATAATAAGAGGAAGTCTTAATGATTTGTAACGTGGTTAGAGAAACAGA